AACAGTCTGAAGATGACCTGGCTGGAACTGAATAACCACCTGGGCTGAAGAAATGACCCAGGAAAATGGAAACTTCCTGCTGCCTGTGGAGCCAAGGGCAGTTTTTCGTATCTGTGCAAGCTTTTGGGTTAAGGGAGGGAATGGAATATGCGTAGATCTCACTGAAGCAGGTGATGTGGAGAGAATTGGAGTGGGAAACAGTAAAGGGGGCAAAAAGTTGTTGAGCATCCTGTGAAATAGAAGAAGTGTATTCGGGGAGATGAGTAAAGAGAACTAGGAATAAAAACTTAAGCGAAGCAGAAGAGACTGCACATACGTACATGGTTTTGTTTCATGTTTAGCTACTTGCAAGGTGCTTGAGATTCTTTGAGAACTGAGAAAGTACACCTTTGGGCTTGGCTGACAATATTTAAAAAAACCCCAAACAAACAAACCCACAACTCATTACATTCTTGCATATGTCTTGTTCCAGCACTGCAATGCTGGAACAATGCTTGTTCTTGCAGGGCATAGTTGTTTGGTATGCTGTTTTGTTTGTCAGTTTATTTAGTGATACCACAGCTGTCCCCATGGTGACAGAAGCCCAGTTCCTTAACTTCATTCTTTTGGAGTTCCAGATAGTGACCTCCGTAATTTCCCCTACTAGATTCTCATGACTAGTTCACAGATTGTGATCTGCAGAATCCGTATTTCCATATACAGTTCAGAGATCCTATGACCAAATCCAAGGACGTTTGCATTAAGGTCATTTGGCAACTTACGTAACTAGAGATGATTTCCTGGCAGTGCCCTGCCCCTAGGTGTCCCCCACAGGGATGGGAAATGATAGAATCACAGTGAGAATGGCAGTAAGCGTGCATGGTTAACCAGGTATGGTTTGAAGAACACTATTTCTTTTCCTAGCAGAGATTTAGATGCTTGGAAGTTGCTCACAGAAGAGCAGTGGCAGTGCTGGAAAGAGTATGTAGAACGAGAGCTGGAAAAGGAACAAGCTGCAGAGCAAGAAATAGGCTCAATTCCTAATCACTGGCTCAGTTCATAGTCACATTTTGGTCAGAACATCTTTATTTCACTGAAGAGTCTGGTCCTTTCCAGAACAGATTAAGTATTTCTCAGTTGGATTGGCAATTTTGGTCAAGGATGGTCAACACTGGCTTGTTAAAGAGTAGCTCAACAACTAACCAACTCCAGTTCAAATAAGCCTAAATTTCTTTTCCACTGTGAACCTCAAAAGCAGTGTTTAAATGCATCAAACAATAGTGAGCTGATGAATCAATCTCAACATAGAAAGGCTCTTTCTGAGCAGCAGGCAAAAGGCTTAATGAATGCAGAGTAAGAAACAGATCTAATGGTTTTAATCCCAGAAGAAATACATCTCTCATTGAAGCTGGTGGGAAAACAGCCATGATGATGGCAAGAGGTTTTTCTGTTGATAGTGTGGAGGGCCTGTGTTGGTACGTTGTCCTACGTGGTGTCTGAGAGCTTGGAACCTTTTTTTATTGCAGGTCAGTTCTGCTTCAACTTTTTTTTGAATGCTGCTCACGTGACCCCGTATCAGTTGTAAAAGACTCCTTCTAAAGGGCTGCTTCAATACTGCACAGTTGATACTTACCAGGAGATGCTGAAAATCAGAACACTGTGTGTCAAAGCAGAGAAATATTAAGACTGATTTACAAAGAACCCAATAAGAGGTAGTTTATTTGGTATACTCTGTAGTGGTATGCTTCAGCTGACTTGTTTTGAAATGTAGAATCAGCCAATTTTGTAGCTAGAGCAGTTTCCCATTACTTTGAGCCTGAGGTCACATCACACTTTCTCCCTCTGCAGATATCATGACGTTTCATACCTGTTATCTTTTCAAAGTTGCTGACCAAAGTCCTCTAGGACTTCGTGTGAGCTAAAGAATAACCATCATGTTGGAGGTAACGGATTGCTCCTTTAAGACCATAGTAACCTGTTCCCTTACCTCTTATCTGTAAAGGTTCTCGTTCAGTAGCTGTTAGAGATGAGAATTTCACAGCAGTATTTGTTACTTTTGCATTTCTTAAAGCCAGGTTTAGTCTCATATCTTACTCTGACTTACAAAGGTAACTTTTGAAAGCTGTATTTCAGCCCGTGCAGTCTGAACTATATAGTTTCATATGGCAAGGACATCACAAGACAAAACTACTCATTAGGATATTTAAATTGATAGTATTTACTGAAGTGGCTTTTGTATACTAATTATTGAAGTAGAACCCTTACTGCATTCATTAAGCAAACCTTTGATAGACAGTTACAAAGAGCCAACACCGTATTGACAACTGCTTGAATGCTTAATCAAGATAAATGTGACTTGCATCATAAGAGGTGATTAAACTTTACTCATTCACAGGGAGGGATACACAAATATGGAATATGCAGCCATTATCTCAGTGGGTGCTCTTGATCAAAATAAAATACTCTTACACAAATGAAATACAGGTGATCAGATTCTTTGGCAATAACAGTCATGGTAGGATGAATAGACGTTTCTCTGGTACTTATTAAGCCTCTGACCCTTGGGTATATGGAGGTTCAAATCTTCCATATGGCCACTGTTTTTACTTAGATGAGACTTTAAAAAAAAAAAAAAACAACACAACCAACAAAACACTCCTCCCAACCAACCAAAGAAAAGAAAGGGAAAAAAACCCCCTAAAACAAAACAAACCCTCAAAACCCTAGAGACTAAGGACTGGAGGAATTAATCAAGAAATACTCTCCATCTTACTCAGAACTCTTCTTTGGGATTAGTAAATAGTAAATCTGTAGTAAAATCCGGCCATGTGTGCTTTACTTTTTTAGATCTCTGAGCTGCTGCTGTTCAGAATAGTAGAAGTCTTCAAGGAGGATTTTAGAAAGATAATCAAATGTGGGGAGAAGAGACACTCTCTGTAGGTACGTTTACAGAAGGAAAGGCTGCGGTTTAGGCATCAGTAGGGCCCAAAATACTTGCATGGGAAAGGCATCTTAAAAGTTGTCACTGGAAGACAACTAAGGTGGGGCTTGTAGTCAGGAAACAGAAGGATAGGAAAAGAATGTATATCCAGAATGAATTTCTTATTTCAGTCATTACTTTTTAGATTGAGATTCTTGTCTTGGGTTTTGTATAGCTTGACAATCTGGAAAAGAACACTAAAGGAAAGAGCTTTTGGGAATCCTTGGCATTACCATAAAAGCTGACTTGTTTTTTTTTTTTTGTCTAAGTTATCAATTATAGTATTCTGTTTTCTCATAAGCCATAGATACTGTCACTTGTTGGCAATATATTAATTTAAGCCAGTGATGCCATCCACTTATATTTGCTATTCTCTGTTTTAGCATGTAATAAAATTGTGTAAATTTCCAAGTCAGTTGTACTAACTTGGAACTAAGTTTTGTGCCTCTCGTTTAAAAGGAGATCTATTGTACTAATACTGAATTCATTAAAATCTTCTTAATTATGCAATTGCTTCAGCCCCTAGATTTTATGGGGACCTTACTTGTCTAGTTTCCTGTGGAAACAAAGCTCTCGTGATTCTGTGTGCATGGGCCATGTGTATTCATGTTCATCTCCAGTCAAATTTTTTTTTGGCCTGTTGTCTAGTGTGAACAATTGTGACAGATAAAGATGGAAACAGAGTTGTCCAAGAAAATGTGATTCCAAGTTTTATGAAAATAAATAGCTAATAGAAGGGAGTAATTCTGTTCATGTCTTCATGGGGGAAAAATTTGCAGTGCATGTCTTACTAGAAAATAAAGAGGAGGAAAAACTGTTAGTAATGCCCAGACTTCGGGAGGTGCTTCCTTTGCCATTTGCACCTTCATGGGCAGCAAATTGAGTTAACTCAAAGATGTGAAAAAGTAGGTTCTGGTGTTCATAATGAACTATTACAGGAAGCTAAGAATGAAGTCTTGGAACAGTAAGGAGGATAGTTAAGGGTGAAAATTAGTAGATATTGTCCTCTCATATAGTTTCTGTTAATAGATGGGAACTTCCTCACAATCCCAATAGTATTTGAACTTCTGTTTTCTGATTTTTTTAATTTTTTATTTTTTATTTTTGAACAAGAGCAAATAAAGAGAAATAAACCTTGCCTAGCTTAAGAAGCAGGTGGACAAATGGTGTGGTCTGACCTGCCGGGGAAGACAGTATTAGCTTCTCTCAATTGTTTTCTTTTGGGAGTTTGGAAAACAATGTAATGACCTTAGTGGATGAGCTAAGTAGCCAGATTGAAATAAGCTCTTAGCATCTGGGAAACTGTTTAAACCATGTTTTTTTTTTCCAGTCTGTATTAGTACTTATGTTTGGAGGCTTAGTTAGTTTTGTATTTGAAGTTTTTGTTTTCTGAGTCTGGTAACTGCACCACTCCCACCCCACCCCCCTTTTTTGTGGAGTTTTTTTTGTTTTGGTTTGGTTTTTTTTGTCTTTTTGTTGTTAAGGCATTCTGTTTTCATTCTTTCATCAGCTTAGAAACCTGGTAGAGGAGGGAAGGCCTAAGGCCTTTCTGGTACCTATTTCAAAGGAATTTTGATTTTCAGTTAATACTGAGTCAGACCTCTAGAATCATCTTTTAAAGAAAATGAAGGACAGAACTGCAGTCCTAATATAAGATCCAGTGGGGGGGGGAAGCATGCTTCTTCCATCTCCTTAGTTTTCATAATTGTTAATTAGAATTTTAATAATTTGTAGTTGAAAATACTAAAACATTGGATTTCTAGTATTTATTTTCTTTCTGTTTTAAGACAAGTACTGAAAAATCTGAACTGTTCTGGTATATGTAAATATACTTGATCCATTCCAAACATGCTCTACTAACTTTGTCTTAATGAAAGCATTCAAGGAATTACCAGTTCTCAGATTGGAACTTTTAATTTATCTTTAGGTAAAGATACAGTCTTTCAACATGCTTGCATGCATATGTCTAATTTAATCAAAATATATTCTAAAGAATTCTTTAGTGATCTGTTTTGTATTTCTAATGCTTTTGTTTCGACAGGTAGCATTACTGGGATTAGATGTTTTATTTGCCTTTGTCGACAGACTATCAGGACGCTTTAAATCCTATATAGGAACTGGTAAGTGAAATATATCTTTCTTTTTATTAAGATCAAAAAGTAAAAGACACTTCCCCCCCAACCCCCAGCTGAAGTGGAACATGTTGAAAGCTTTCTGAGTTAATTATAACATATTGGTAGGCATCTTATTGCTATTGTTAGAATTTAAATAATTTTGTACTAACTTGTAAATATTCATTTGTCATGCAATCTAGCTGGTGATTGGGATTTTTTAAAGGTTCCAGGAATATCTTTTCAGTAATTAGTTTCATGCTATGTACTCGCTTACCACTCCCCAAGACAGTCTTCTAAAAATCACATTGGAACATAAGTGTTACCTTTAACTTGTGTTAAAGATTGAAGATTTTATTGGCAGATCACTTTAATTACAGCCTTATGTCTGCTGAAGCCTGTGGTCTCAGAGGACTACGTAGTCCACCTCCTGTTAGATAACTGGACTGTAGCTTTTAGTAGTCTAAACTTTTTATGGGATGAAAAAAAAGTACTAACTGCTATTCTTGGGTGAAATGTTTACTTGAATGTATTTCAAATTAATGGATCTATGTGTGCCTGAGTATGAAACAGTTGTTCTGGGAAGTACGACCAAACTGTGCTGCTCAACTCATTTTGCTGCTGTCCTTGAAAAGAGGTAGTGGTACTAGGGCATTAACACTGGTGTTGTATCACTGGCTATTTTAAACAGAAGTTTCTAGCATAATTTCCTTTTCCAAAATTTGTGTGAATTATCTTGTATCTTGTTCCCACATCCCCAGTTATCTCAAATTGTCTGTCAAAATGTTAAGCTTCCTCTTCTTTATGTGTCTACTTTTGTATTTAAGAGTTAAGAAATCAGCAAAATTTGAAAGTTTAGGAATACAAAGCATAGTTTATTACAATTACTAACTAAATTAATTGGAAGCCTATTTCAGGATGCTGTAGAACTACTGCGGTAGAGTGCTACAGAATTTAAATCTATTTTGTTGCAGAGGGGTTTTCTTTGGCAGGTTAGTTTTGTATTGGAGCAGTGTAAGGGAACTGGAAGCATATTGTGCTATGCGGAATATTGATTTCTGAATAGTCTCCATTTGTAACAACAAACAGTGCTAGGCTTCAGAGTTTTACTTTGTTTTGATTTATATTTTAGTGGTGTGAAGAAAAAGTTACAGCAACTTTAAAGGTTGGAAAGCTTTTCTCATTTCTTCTGGTTTTGGGGTTTTTTTAAGTGTGAACTATTTGAGAATAGTTTGAAAATACTATTTTTTTCCCATTATTTGAGTAGTTTGAGATCATGAGCAAATTAAAGATTTACATTTCAGTACTCAGTAGCATTTATATTTAAAAAAAAAAAGTACTGGCACGGGGTGACCATTGAACATGTGTAACATCAATAAATGTCTGAAGCTGTGTATTCCAGAAGTACTTTTTCAAAAAGCTGAGTTGTAGTGCCTTCAACTGAAAATGGTCTTCTGAGCATCTCCAGAATCAAGACCTGTAGAGTGCATTATCCTGAATATGTAAGTCACTGTTGTGCATGATCAGCTTAGGCTGGACAAGACCCTTAAGATCATCTAGTCCAACCATTAACCTAGCACTGCTAAGTCCAACCACTAAACCATGTCCCTAAACATCACATCCACAGGTCTTTTCAGTACCTCCAGGGATGGTGACTCAATCACTCCCCTGGGCAGCCTCTTCCAAGGCTTGACAACCCTTTCACAATGAAGAAATTGTTCCTAACATCCAATCTAAACCTCCCCTGGCACAACTGGAGGCCATTTCCTTCTGTCCTGTCGCTTGTTACTTGGGAGAAGAGACAGACACCCACCTGGCTACAACCTTCTTTCAGGGAGTTGTAGAGAGGGATAAGGTCTCCCCTCAGCCTCCTTTTCTCCAGGCTAGACAACCCCAGTTCCCTCAGCCACCCCTCACAGGACCTGTTCCCTAGACCCTTCACCAGCTTCATTGCTCTTCTTTGGACATGCTCCAGCACCTCAATGTCTTTCTTGTAGTGAGGGGCCCAAAACTGAACACAGTGCTCGAGGTGCGGCCTCACCAGTACTGAGTACATGGGGACGATCACTTCCCTCATCCTACTGGCCACACTGTTTCTGATACAAGCCACCCCCCAAATTCTGCGAAGTTTCCATAGCTAAGCATAGGTAATGAGGTAGGTAATCATGTATTGCAAATTTGCAATTCATACAGGTGATATGAGGAGTAAATAAAGATCATGGTATCAAGCCTGAAAATGTTGGGAAATTTGGGAGTAAAATACTTCAGCTAAGTAACAAGGTTCTTAGGGCATCGCAGGAAGCCTTAGTAGTATTTTTTTATGGTGGGCATTTACTTTGTTTTGGTCAAATGTGAGTATATTATTTTTGAAAGACAAGCATAATAGAAATTTTCCAGGCAATTTAATTATTACTTTGAAATATTCAAAATATAGTTCACTTCCATTGATTGCAGCTAAGTTATTGTGGGTACTTGCATTCTCACTGAAGATCAGGATTGCACCATGAATATAGCGAAGATGTATATGTAAAATACCAACCTACTCAGTTTTCTGCCTTTTTTTTAAAACACAATGAATCCTATTTTTGACGTGAAGTTTCACGTTTGTAGCTGTATTTTTCATAAAATACCTGGAACCTTAAATGTATTTTTGTCTTAATAAAGAGCGTTACATTTTGGTGACCCTGAGATGTTTTATTCATGATTCAGAACTCTGTAAATGATGGAAGTATAGTAGCGTATTAGCCAACTAAAACATGGCAAAAGATATTTTCCCTCCATTTAATTTCCTGCTCAGTTATGGTGGGGATAGATTTCTTTAAGGGCAGAGAAAAATAACTGATGTGATTGAGTATTCCCCCCCATAAGCATTACAGGCTTTTTGCTCAGAAGTAGAAAACATGACTGCTTTATTATTTTTTCCTATCTTTACAGCCTATGTATATGCTGTAGATATAAATATAAATTAGATTTGGGCAAAATCATTACAATAGTTGTAGGACAGATGCTTTTCAATATTCTGAGGAGCATGTTAGTGATCTTTGTATTGAAGTATAACGCCCGATAAGAGGCTTAATTTGGTTTCCAAGGCAACAATCTAACCAGTAACTTTCTGCCAAGGTGTGTTACCCTTTTACGATTAACCGCGTTGCACGCTCTCTGCAGCTGGTGTCAGTGTTCTGGGAATTTGGACACACAAATTTGGATTCTCTTTTTTTAGTACTTCCAGTGAAGATGCTTGAAAATACTTTGTAAGCAATAAATATCAGGGTATGTGTTAATTCATAAGACTATATGTCTATTTTCTAGAAAGAATAAAGTAGATTAAGGAGTGTTTGAGTGTTACATCTTTCAGTATTTAAAACTACTGCTTGTTCTGTGATTAAAAGAGATTATGTAAGAGTACATAATTACCCTGTGACAATCTCTTTTCCCAGGTGATGGCATTAATGATTAAAATATATCAGAAACAAAAGAGAGAATATTAGAATTATGGGCAAATGTGACTGGATGATAGAGTTTCTGGGAAAAGTCTCAACTCATACTTGCAGTTTTGCTTTCTAAAAGGAGTGAATGTTATTTTGCCCTCTTGTTATTGTCAAAGGAATGGGAAAGAAAAAATATAATAAAGGTATATGGAGTCTTTTTCAGTTTCAATGTGGTATTAATTATGACATTTTTCCACATATATTGAACTGTCCATTAGTCTATGGTATAATTATAGTCATTGACTTTTACATACAACCTTACAAGATGTTGCAAACTATATTTTAGTTATCTGCAAATTAAAGGAGAGATGCTTGGCACTTAAACCCCCAGATACACGTTACATATGTACATATATGTATAAGTCTGAATATAGATATGTTTTACACATATGTAAATGTGTGTTTGTGTGTAATAGCAGTTTCAAATTATTATTACTGGAAAAAGAAACCAGTGGGCAAAAATAATCTTGGAAGATAGTTGTAGTGCTGTATACTAAGATGTGAAACCAATTTGAAGTGTTTAAATTCTTTCCCAGGTGGCTTCTAGAAGTGATGGAAGAGCTTTTAAATTAGACTCTTCAGGATAATCTAACTGCTTTTTCAAATTTGTCATAATTAAGCATGCAAGTATGTTGCCTGATTTATTTTAAAGCAGTTGTAAGGACTTGCAATGTGAATTATTTTTTTTTGAGTGAATTTGGATTAAAAGCATTTGATACAAGAATTTGGAAATACTTGTTTGAGTAAGACTGTATTTAGATAAGTGACACCCAAGTTGTTAACTTTGCTTTTTCTCCTGCTTAATGATTGAAGTTTTTTGATGCAAAAGACTTAAATGCACAGTTTAATCAGTGGAGTATGGAAAAAATAACCACTCTTTAATAAGTGGTTTATGAACAAATGCTTTCCTCTACACCATGAAAACCAAGAACTTCTAGCATGAGCTACCATGGATATATAGCATGTAGAAAAATATTGGATCTTCAGGTTTTAGGGACTGACTGATTTTTTTTATTATTTATTTTTATTAATTTCATTTAGATGTTGATACTAATGACACAATCTACTGTAGGATTCCAGATTACAAATGCTTGCAGAACACCTAAACACAAAACCTGGCATAATTTAGGTTAGAAGGAACCTTCAAGATCATCTGACCCATGTCTTTGCTTACAGTATGGCCAACCTCAGATTGTAAAGAAAGCTTTGAAATTAAATCAAATAATTCAATAAATTGAATTGCTCAGATAATGTAAAGCAAGCTTTTCTTTTTATGTGAGATAGGTCTTGTCTCAAAGATACCTTGTTGCATCTAAATAGAAGTCAGATGTTTTGTCTGACATTGCCTTTTCATTTTACTGCTGCCTGACCTCAGGAAAAGCTGTGTTGGCTGTGTTGTAGGATTTTTGTTAAACAATAAACTGCTGAATATTTCAGACTTTTCTTTTTTAGAAAAGGCTTTTAGAGGAGACTCCAAAATTTGTATTTTTTTTCTTGGGAATAGATGTTTTGAATTGCTTT